CCAGAATTTCCCCCCACACCCCCTCCACCACTGAGTACTAAACAAAGCGTGTTGCGTGATGACACCAAATAACAGCGGCCCAGAAGACGTTGGAAAAGATCGACTTATATTAACTTCTTCATACTGTGATTGTTTTGGACACGCGGGCAAACAGTCTGAGCGATAGACAACAGAAAAACAGACGGACTGATGTCTCACCACACTGATTATTTTTTTTTCTTTCCTTTTAGTTTGGTGGAGTGTGGAAGCCCCTGTGACGTGTTTATTGTCTGATCCACAAACAAACCTGATTTGTGTTTTCGTTTCATTCAACAAGAACAAATCACACTGTAAGTGAGCCTTGTTTTGTCGTTCTGGTTTCAAGACCAGCAAGCTGAATTTTACTCTTCTTAATTCTGAAAACCCCTCTACTCTTAGAATCAGAATGTACATTTATTTTACAGTCTTGATACACTTTTAAGCAAATAGGTTGTGAGAATGACGCAGTTCACAAACAAGGAGCATTTGCTCTGATGTGACACCGAATTCTCAGGAATAGCGCTACAAGCAGGTGTGCGTTTAAGGTTCAGTACTACTCTACAGGGAGTACGGATGCTCCTTGTCAGAAACAGAAGGGAACTTTTAGTCCAAGTGACAGTAGAATTTGCCCAGGTCGTTGAGACCAAATGGAGACAGGTTAGTCTCGTTTCCGTGTCATAAACGAGTGAAATCCTAAATTTTACTTGGTTTCAAGCCATTTACCGGTGTCGATTTATGTTCCGAGCAAAAAGTACAAGAATACTGAGAGTTTTGTCTTGACAACTACCAGGGCGTGTTTGAAAGAAGTTGGGAAACAGAAACAAAAAGTAATTGCTAGTTAGCTTTGTTAAAAGTAGCCATATTTGTTTTGTATTATAGTGTACGTTTTCGACCCAGCCTCCCCTCATCCTGTAGCTGTTCAATCTTCTGTGTCCAGGAAGTCGGATGTGGTGTCAGCGGCTTTCGACAGGGAAAGCATGTTATACAGCAATAAAAGTGGGAAATCATTCAAAATGTCGAAACTTTACTTCTTGAATCAGGAACAGGTATGAGAAAAGTGCTGTAAGTTTAAAGATCGTTTTATCAATTTTGAGGAAAACACTTACAGTTTTCAAATGAGTACCTGAAGCAGTTCGGTTTTGCTCGAGAAACGATCTTATTACAAAATTTCTAAAATTAGCCGACACATAAGCAATCTACATGTACTAGCTATCCAGTGCATGCATTAGGACTCAAAGTTACGTTTGCCCTCTTCAGAAACTGTTCACATTGGATTTTGGTGAATCAGGAGATACAAAGAGTCGGGTCAAGCCACAGGTGAGTGACTGCAAGAGACTTTGAGGAAGTCACCCCAAAAGTGACCAATAATTGATTATCCTTGTAATATCACAATCCACATCATCAGTGCGAAACTTTGTTATTTTATGGTAATTATCTTTGTCTCGTCGTTTTCTTTCGGTTCTTTTTTTACGTTTTTAAGAGGTTTCAATATAGTCACGATAAAAAAGAGTAACTGCTAATCTTTTGGAGGAATTTTACGTTGTCCACTTAACAGTCAGTGGAAAAAATAGCACATCTATTCCCCCTTTCCTTTTTTTTAATTCATAATTTTTTGGGCGTACGAGATGGATTGTCACCTGAAAAAAACTAGATTTATTGAAGCGAATACTTTCTATGCTATCACCCCAACCCTAATTGAGACTCTTATTGAGACAATGCTTTAGAATTTGAGTAAATATAATACTTAGCTTTTACTGCAAACTTGTACGAGTCAATCAGTTAATGACATGATTTTTTTCACTATTTTGTTGCAGGAATCAGCTGCAGGTTCAGAACAGCAGACTGAATTCTACAAGATCTTCGGACAGTCAACTAAAAGTAGTAAGTAATGAAGGCAGCAGCCGTCTTTCCTAATCTGCGGTTTCTCTTATGTAGTATCGTCTTTATTCCTGCGGTTTTTCATCAGCGCATGTGTTCTTCTTGGCAGTATTTCTTTTAGCTATTATGAATCTTCCAAAAGTGAAAGACCACCATGAAAATGTGTGTGCAGCAACACTTCGCGATATAATGAACGATCCTCAGCACAAATTAAGTAAACTTTTACCACCCCGCTATGTAAGCTCTCATAGGTTAAGGCACGAGCGTACCTTTGCTTTGCCACTTTGCAAGACAAATAGACTCAAAAACAGTTTTTTTATTGCCTCGGCCAGAATAGTCAACAGCCACAAATAATGTACAAATTCCCCCATACGATGAACTATGTATTTTTTAATAATGAGATGTATACGTGTACATAGTAATTTCTATTTTATATCTGTGAATATGCAATTCAGTTTATGCTGCGAAGTATTTACCAATAAAGTATCTATCCATCTATCTCAGTAATTTCCTTTCAGATCGTCAACCAGCTCTCTTAAATTTCGATTCCACTTCCAGCCATAGACAGATACTTCCCACATATCATTATCCTTTTTCTTCTTTTTATCGTCACCATTATCATTTTTAACTTAACCATTTTTGTCTGTTTTAGGAGCGGAGTCCACTTCAGATCATCGCGTAGGTAAAGGTATCAGAGGGGGGACTCCATCATGTGCTGTGATCAGACAGGTCAGTTCGACGTGTTTTAATTCCAAAATTTCATCTTGTTACATATTGTTTGCCCTTCCGAGCTGGAGTGCAGATTTCTTTCTTTTTCAGATGCTGCAGACCCCTTCTCATGTTCTTCCTTCAGTTACCGCTCTGTGCTCATCATTTCTGCAATCACTACTGGTCAGCAAGCAATCCGCGCCAAGGTAACATCTGTGTTTTTAAGTGCTGTGTTGGCTAAGTTTCGTCACGCAGTTACGTTTTCGTTGCACGTGTTATTTGGCCGCACACCAAAAAACACGTGCAAACGAATGAAATTAACGAGCAAAAATAGGCTATGAGGTCTGCTCTTTGTGAAATTCCGTCTCACTTTTTTTTTCATATAAAACACCTGTTTTCTTCCTTTTTTTCGACTTTTTCAGGGAAGATCAAGATAATTTCAAGAACAGTGAAAGTGAAAACGATGGTAGGTTGTTTAGGGCCTTTGTTGAAAATCTCTTAGAAATGTGTGACTTTCAGCCTATGGTGACCCGTTACCACGAAAATGCTTTACGATTGAATGTCGTGAAACTAAAACCAGACTGTCGTCCAAGTGAACGTAATACAGAGTAGAGTACTTGCAATGGTATATCGAAAGACAGGAAAATATCAGAAAAGAAGCCAGTCAGAACAAAAAGTAGACAGGAGTCAACAGAATGACCCGTGGGAATCCGTGGATGGTAAGGTGGTGTTTAGTTTTAATTTTGAATCTGAACGATAAAGACAGTGAGGCGATTTCTGTCGAACAATCTCAGAACCGAGTGAAGCAAATCAGTGCAATCCCAATTACTCTAACCGCTCATCTCAGTCTCTGTACTAATGAATAGGGTAATTCTTGTTTTTTCTTTTGTTATGTTTTTTTGTGTGTGCAGATGAAAGTATGAATGAAGATGAAGACAGCGACGTAGAAACAACGCGGGTTGCCGAAGGAGCTTCAAGGCAAGTTCATGACTCTTCGATAGAAACAACAAAAAGTGCTGTTTTGCAAAGCAGGCGACTCAGTTCCGGAGAACATAATGCTGCTCTCGACAGTGTGAATTTTACCTGGCTTAAAGAATACTTTGCCTCCTCTTGAATAAACTTTGTTACTGGTGCAATGAAATTATACGTGAATTATATGAACGAATTACGTAATAAAGAAAAAATGTAAAGAAAAGAAATGAAAAAGTAATATGTCCGGGAATTTTTCCCGTTTCTATTAGTGTAGAACTCTACCTTCACCCTAGCACCCGTTCCCCTCCGTTTGTCTGTTGGTTAGGAACGTATCTCCAGAGGATGCCCTAGAGTTGAAGGGAAACTATGAGCTCTTAGGCTGAGAATTGAAAATCAAGGATTATTGTGGTTCCACTAGTAACCCACAGCGTTTAAAGATCAAATGGAAATATCTTGGAAAAAGTTGAAAGAGTATTACTGAAGAAAGTAACAGTTTGAAAGTCTTGTATTGAGAATCTTCCTAAAGTTTGCTAAATGACCCTCATCCGGCCCACAACACACGCGTTACCCTCTTGACCAGTCAGAGGCAATATTGTCGCCCTGTCATCCGTGGTCTGGCGCGCACCACGATCATGTTTCCTCAACGTGGAACTGCAAACAGAGGCCCTAGTCTCATAGCGCCAAGTTGAGACTAAGGTCCCGCGGAATATAAAGCACTAGACTTGAGGTGCCGATTCCAAAATCATCTCTTACCGGTACATGTAAACGGAGTAGAAGCAGTTATCACGCGACCCATGTAAAAAGTCCAAGTATAACTAAAAACTGGCGCCTCTTGTATGAAGTTCATAAATGCGTTATTAATCACGGATGTTGACATCGTCGAAGACCCAGTAGACTGCTTTGCAGCCATTTCCGGAGTCGTCACGCCAGGCGAATAACTCCCCCAGAAAAAATTGACAGTTCACTTGAAGTAGTAGAGGTCGCGCTGATATCTACCTGTAAACTGGACTTGATAATCGCTGGAAAATCCCAAGAGCTTCTTCCAAATAAACAGATTTTATCACCAGAGAGAATAGTTGAACAAACAAAACAGCAATCAGTTCGTGAATTCTGTTGGGGGGTTTGATAGACCTCCGTATATCAACAAAATACAATCTATGGTCCGCCCAAACATGGAAGGAGAACGTCGAAAAACGTGCTGAGAAAAGTTTGACACTTTATTTCGCGGGAAACACATACGAAGTGCGCTGATTGGCTCTTACCGAAACAATACTTTCACCCTGATTGGCTAGTACAATACAAAGGGAATGGAATGCAGTTCGAATGTGAGCAGCCTTTTCTGGGGGAGTTATTCGCCTGGCGTGACGACTCCGGAAAAGGCTGCAAAGCAGTCTAAAGTAGGGATTCCATAGTTATTATTTGCTTTTAGCTTACGAAGAGTTAATCTAGAGGTCAAACTGGTGTTGCGGTTATGTATTTCCGAGGCTCGAGTAA